GTCACTTTGGAGTTAAAAAGTGTACTCAGTGAAAATTAAGGGGTATAAATGGGTACTGTCAAAAGTACCCAAAATATAAAAATAAAAATAGTAATATTCCTAGAATAATATTCCAGACTTTTGGGTAAAGTTTGGTAATTATTGGAGTTAAATAGATAGACGAACCAATACCCGCTTAAAGTCACTTAACCTATGTTAAGTGACTAAAAGCCAAATGAGCCCCATTTCCCACCCCCATTTCGTCGAGCATCAGAAAAGAAGGAAAGAGAAGAAGGAGAAAGAAGAGAGGGAAGAAGGGAGGGAGAGAGAGAGAGATCAAACCTTGATGGTTTTGGATGATTCAAAAGCCTAAATCACTCTAAATCTTCCCCTCTTTCATAATCCTAGCTTTGTTTTGAGTGGGGAGCATTGTGGAGAGAGATATTACCTCTCAAAAATTCGGCCCTTTGGAGAAATTTGGGGTTTTGAGAGTTTCTACCTCCATTGAAGCTTGAGGAGCCATCAATCCTTGGTTGTGTGACCATTGGTGGTAAGATTCTAACCCTTGAACCTCATGATTCCTTGAAATTTGCATGAGTTAGGGTTTGTGAATAGTAAATTGGGATTTTTATGAAATGTAGTTGAATTAGCTATGTTCTAGGAAGAATGGAGCTTAGAGCATGTTATGGAAAATGCTAGGAATGTCATTTAATCGGTGGAAATGAGCCTAGATAGTCATTTGATAATTGTTCATAATATTGGAAAATTCATGCTTGGATTGGTTAGTATTCTAGCATGTTGAACAATTAGTGAGTTGAATGATTGATTGGATCCTTGTGATGTCTAGGATTGAGACATTTGGACCAACCGTGAGTGATCAACCATTGGAGCAAGCTATGGAGCTTGAATAGCTCATTGGAATTGGTAAGCTCATACTTGGGTTGTGCTTTGAATTGAGTAATTGATGGTTGATTGTGAAATACTCTTGGATGCAATGTGTTGATTGCATTACACCATGTGTAGGTGTATGTTTGTAAAAGTTGATTGCTGAAACTGTTGGTGAAGAACAAAGGTCGACTGAAGCATTGAGGTAAGCCTTCGGACCTTGGGTGTAATTCCCTTGACTGTTCTACCAAGCCCTGAAAGGGTGGAGGTTGTGATTGTGTATATAAATGCAATAAAATAGTGTAATGCTTTGTTATACGTATGTGTATGCATTTGGTGTGGCATAGGATGGTGTTTCCCTATGTTGGTATGTGGCATGACGATGCGTAAATCATACTTGGTAGTTAGCTGGCCAGTAGGACTATTTGCATCTGAGTTTCCTTAGGACAGCTTGAGAGCTCGAGGGATTTCTCCTGGAGATGTATTGCACTTTGCATAGATATGTATTTACTGCATTATTATTGTTATTGCTATTACACTGATATGGAACTGTGGGGTGGAGAGATGCTCCAAGGACCCCTGGTTTACTGGATATATTCGTATATCTCACCCCGTGTTGTGGGGACCCCCTTTCAGGTAAGGATGCTGCAGGAGCCTCTGGTGGCAAGTGGCCATACCTAGATTATGCATGAAATATGGCACTTCTTTGAGTTTATGCATGCCTTTTGTAGTTGACATGTATAGGATTTTATTTTGAAAGCCCATGATCATTTGTATATCTTGATTCATTGGATGAACTTAGCCTATGCTCATGCCTTTGGTTACACCTATTGTTGATGGGAGCCAAGGGAATGATCATAGTGTTTTGTAAGCTAAGTTCTATGATTTGTAAAGGATATGTAATGTAAATGATGTCTACTTGGAATTCAATATATGCATGCTTGTTATGTATTGAGTTGTTGAATTGGTTGGGCTGAAAATCAATTAGGTACCCTCTTCGTTTAAACTGGTAAACGATGAGAAAACAAAGGTCATGCTGCCCAAATTCTAGCTAAATCTCATGAGGAGAGGTTGGATGAGTGCTAGGATTTAGTTTCGGGGCATGGACCTTTGTGGTTTGTAATGGGGATGCATTTTCCCCTAGGCTTGGACTTGAGAAATGTGGGAATTGGAATTCCCTGGCAGCGCGCTTAAGCGCCCAGGAGCGCGCCCAAGCGCCCTGCTGCCCCTGCGAGTGCCAATGCATTCTGCCTCCTCGCGCTGGAGCGCCCAAGTGGGGGCTTAAGCGCCCGGGATTGCGCGCTGGAGCGCCCTGGTCCGCGCTTAAGCGCCCTTCGCCACTGAAGGAGGAGATGCTTCTGTCTCTGCGCGCTAAAACGTCCCAGTGGGAGCTTGAGCGCCCAGGCTAGCGCGCCTGAGCGCCCTGTTGCGCGCTTAAGCGCCCATCCACACTGGAAATGCTGATGCTTACTGCCTCCGTGCGCTTAAGCGCCCAGATGGAGGCTTTAGCGCCCGATAGCGCGCGCTTGAGCGCCCGGTAGCGCGCTGAAGCGCGCGGGGCCTGTGACCAACACTCTCTTGTGTTGCTTCAAATGGTCCTAACTTGGGCTACAGTGCTCCGATTTGAGCACAGTTTGAAGCCACAGGTAGCTAATGAAGAAACCTACAATATAGTAGAAGTATTGAACTAAACAAGAAGTAAATTAAAGGTTTAAAAATGGAAGATGAACATGATGTTAAGCTTAATTTATCTGTTTCCGCAAGGTAATTTGGTTATGATCACGGAATTGGGTATTACAAATTCAGTACGTTTTAAAATGAAAAATTTATCCGGATTTTAATTGAACCCATGTGATTGTAACTGCGCTTAATATCATAATGCGATGTTAACAAACCGGTTCTAGAACGGGGTGTTACATGGAAAGCCGAGCTCTCCATTAGTATCAATTGAGGGAAAGAAGGGTTGAACATCCTTCATGGCGACAATTCCGATTAGACCTCCTTAGATGATTCGAATCAACAATAGCCAAAAATCCATATGAAATCTTGTAAAGGTTAAGACAAGCAAGTATGGTAGCCGAGTATCGTGATGTATTACATAGAACAACAATTGGATGAAAATTCATTGGAAGAGCAGGCTGGGCTATAGCAATCAATGTGGCCTCAATTGGAGGCTATCTTTCTAGAGTATGATGATCTTTTTCCGAGACCCACCAAGATTACCTCCACCTAGATAACAGAATCATGTGATAATTCTGAAGGAAGGAGTATCAGCACCCAATTTATATCCTTACAGATATCCCTATTACCAAAAAGTTGAGATAGAGAAAATAATAATGGAAATGTTAGCTCCTTGAATCATTAGACCCAGTGTGAGTCCTTATTCAAAAGGATGGTTGTTGGAGGTTGTGTGGATTATAGAGCTTTAAACAAAATCATTGTTCTAGATAAATTTCCAATTCCTATTATAGAGGAATTACTGGATGAGATTGGAGAGTTCACAATTTTCTCAAAATTAGATTTGAAATCTGTAGATCACCAAAAAAGGATAAAGGAGGCATATATACCCAAAACTACTTCTAGAACTCATGAGGGCCACTACCAATTTTTAGTGATGCCATTTGGATTAACCAATGCCCCATCCAGAAATCTTGCTATAGAAGTTATTTTAGATATTAGGAGACTAAATAAAAAAGGCTGAAACACATAGGAAGGTAAGGAAGGAAGCCGGAAGTTTGGAGAATAAGAGGAGAGACACGCCTCTCTAATGCGTGTGTGAACTCTGAAATTATATACTGATGTATTACTTATTTTCTCTCAGTTGGTTTAATCAGAAAGTTCAATGTTGAATATGTTCATGTACCATAATTGTGTATCGAGTTAGAGGTTACTATAAGCACTAAGGAAGCTAGACTAAGCTCCAACACTTGTTTCATACCAGCCACTGGTAGGTTTCTCAATATTCTAAAGTTCTTTACAGGAATTTACTTCATTGATTTCTTTCAATGTGAAATGGTAAATGAAGCATAAATAAGATTATTCATAATTTATATTGACTATCATAGCAATTGAAAGCTAGTTTGGCACTATTTTCATCATTTAAAGTAATTCTAGCGATAAGAGTTGGTATCAATCTATAATTATTTGTGATTAATTTATGTGCTATTAGCAGATGACATAGTTAACTGTAACTGCTTTAGCATGCATCCTCCAGTAGCAACAGAACATTATTTCCTTGTCTGTGTGCTTTGCAGAGTCATAAAGAAGGTTGCATGACATAAACATGGAAATATAATGTAAATGAAGGATGAAAGAAAGGCCATAACTACAGTAAAAAGGGATTTTCAGCAGAAGACAGAGGATCCAAGAAGCAGGCCCTTTCATTTATTATTAGATAATGACATCTTTTCTCATAAAATTCATTCAATAAATAACTGCATTTATATGAATAGGAAAAAGGAAAAGGTACAAGTATTGATAATATTCTCAGCTTTGTATTATCTATCTTATAGGCCTATAATATTTTCCTTTGATTTCAAATATATTATAATGAAAATTAAAACATTGAATAAAATGTGTCAAGCTCCACGCTTTTAACAGTCATTTGATAGTCAGATCAACCTATTTAAGGGGAATATGAAAGGATTGGTAGTCAAGATTAGAACCCTTAAAAACTGACTGAGTAAAACAGAAAAAAATAAAATGCATTGAGTTCTGCAAAGAGAACAAAATCATAATCTTTTAAAAACTGAAAAAAGTTCAGAATTGAGTATTCCAAAAAACTTAGTTGAAAAACAAGGGTGGAGCAGGGAAAAACAAAGATAACATTGCAAGTGAACCAAGACAGGAGTCAACAGACACAAAGGCACATTTTGAAATGAAGTGTAATGCTAACTGCTAAGTTTCAACTCTAAGACCAATAGGTATAACTAACGCAGGGTTACTGGATTTCATTTTATTTGTGCAGAAAAGTGTGACCCTCTACTTATCCAGAGGTAAATGAGTCTAACGGTGCAGGCAGGAGTATAACTTCTTCTGATTGAAAGAAAATGAAACTTGCTACGCATAGGTTTAATGGCGTACAAAATATCTGCTTGCTTAATTCATTTGCAAAATATACAAAAGAAATGCAGATATCACTGACTAGAAATATATACCTGGATAGATGTGAGTATAGCAGCTACATCATATATTGGACTCCACTGATTTTGTAATATATCCAAACAAATACTTCCATCAGCATAAACTACGCACAGTTGAAAAAAAAATTGAAATTAGAAGCTACATGGCTATATTATTGATAAGAAGGTAAATATTTTCCACCTAAAACTTAACTGTTTGGATGAAACATTCGAGACACAAATCGTACAGTTGGTGGTTTATTTGGATAATCCTCACTGAATTGGAGAGTCAACTTAAACGTGCCTGAATAACTCAAAATGTGTAGTTATGTAAATATAACCAATATAATGAAAATATCAAGAAACAGAAAATATGACATCCCAAAATACACAAAAACTATCCCACCATGAGTTCTCAATTATGATTTAATTTTTGTAAATTAAAGTAGAACACATCTCCATGGGGAAAAATGAATTTAATTTAATACTTTGTGGTAAAAGATAATTTATCTCTTCGGAGAGTGTAATGTAGAGTATGGATAAGACATTATAATAAACAAGAGTTAGAACTAAGCGAGAGAGAAAGAGAACCACAAAATGCATCAAATTACAGAGCAGCATCTATATGCCAGCCCTTGAAAAATTCTTAATTTTAACTTTTAAGATAACCTAGAAATCTGCTGAGCTTCTCAAAATCATTTTGAGGATGGACAAGCTATGACACTCTCTTCACAACATGGTTCAAATATCCCCATCTACAAAGTAAGCTCTTCAAATACACCAAATTGTTACAATTGTAAGTAACGCAGAAGATGGCAAAAGAACCTAGTTTACACATGTTTCAAAATTGTTTTAGATAAGAGCTTAGGTACGAGAATTCACTCACCTCCGTCCCATGGAGTATCATCAGGACTGCATCCAAAGCAGACAAGAAAGCAGAAATTGCTTACCCATCAATAATTTAACAAAGAATATAAATAAAAATGAAGTAGCCATATTATATATAATGTAAGTAAAAACAACAATGGATCCCTATCCAATTTCAATTCAACTCACCCAAATATAACGGCATTCCACAGCATTATATTGTTATCCTGGGGGGCACCACTGATTCCTGCAGGTGGGTCTTGCTGCAGCCTCTTGAAATCTCTCATCAGCCTCTTCCTAGACGGAGTCGACATCGTCACCACCTAGAAAAACCAACACCCACAAGGAGGAAGACATTATAGACTCGATTCAATTGTGTGCTTTTAAGGAAAAAAGAAAACGCCCCAAGACAACAACACCACATAAGAGACAAAGCCAATATTACTTAATCACAGTTAAGCCTTTAACGTAAAAGGACAACTCAAATTCCACCCCAAAAAAAAAAGGAATCAATCACAATTCATTCAATACGTAAAATTAAACAAAAATAATAATAATTTAACACAATCGAATAGGATTGGCATTAAGAGAACTGGGGGAATACGGGGGAAATGAGGGAATTCAAAAATAAAATAAAAAAAATTTAAATAACATTTTGCAACCTAAAACGTCTAATGAACCCTAGAATTCACCAGGCAATTGTTTCCCCCTCATTTGTCCTCTAGCAACAATTTCAAACCAAAGATACCCCAAAATTATAACAACGCTAGAAATTTCAAAAGGAACAAAAGAATCAAAACAAACATGGGGCTTTGACGTAGATCCTCCCTCTGTATCTCTAATCACCATGACACATGACAGCAACCATGTAATTGTAAACTCGAACCCAAAAAAATAAAATATAATATAATAAAGGCAATTAAATTGAACCCCAAAACAAGAAAAAAAAAGAAAAAAAGCGAAGAGAAGGAAAATTGGGTTACCAGGAACGGAAGAGCAAGGATTGAAAAGGGTGTGAGAGGGTTATAACTCGGTTGAAGGTTGGCGTAGCTAGATCATCAAAACTCAGAAGCATGAAAGAGGGTTATGTTATTTATTTTTTGTTCGATTCATATTATTAATGGATTGGCATGCTGTGGGTTGGGTTGGAGTCTAGTCACCTCTCCCACTCGCCGCCACTCACCCTAACCTTCTTTTTTTCCTTTTCCTTTTTTTGAAACAATTAAAAGAAGAATATTTTGTTTACTAAGAAGAAATTAAAGAAAATATTCCTTATTCTAAATGGTTTGAAACTTTTAAGTTAAAGAAATATGATATAAATATCCTAAAGAGAGTAGAAAAAATACGGTAAATCACAAAAAAGTTGAAGTCTTCAAATTAAAATAAATTTTAAAATTCATGAAGAATTAAAATAAATTAATAGACAATAAAAATTAAAATAAGATAATTTGCTATCAATAATATTCAAGATTCCAACTCTACAAAATAATAAGATTTCAAGTCACCATCTTTCAAAAATAATAAATACATAATATATTGAATCGATTTTCCATTCATCAATCAAACTCAAAATCGATTCAATCTAATTAAAACATGTGAGGGCTTTTTATTTTTGATTTTTCGGTTATCGATTTTTCGATTCGATTATCGCGGTTTGAATTGGTTTGGATCGATTGATGAACATCTGTAGAAGAGGAGAAGTCAGGAATCTATGATGCACCGACATTTCAAAAAACTTGACGTGTCATATCCGACATTCCCCGACACCCCGACACTCCAACTCTAAAACTTGTGTTACGTTTTTAGTTCCAACTATTAAATTTGTTGGATTATAATTACTTTTTTATTGAGTTTAATATAAATATTTGTGATATCTTATATTTTTTTCAAAATTAATAAGTATTATAAGATTAGCTTCATTTTTTGTTAAGTTATTGAATATTAAATATAATATACATTACATAAATTAAAAATATTATTTAATATCAAAATATGTCCTAACGCGTCGAAATTTAATATTTTTTAGAATTAATGTATCATGTCATATCGTGTCTCATATCTCGTGTCAGTGTCGATGCAACATAGTCAGGAATAGTACCCCCTCAAGAAGAAATAAATTTTCCAAGCGTGATCACAGCGCTCACCAAGCAAGGTGAAGGAGTCCATGAGTGTCATTTGATAGCTCGTATACGGACATGGATTAATAAAAGCTAATTGGTGGCTTTCATGCATACATATAGAGCAGGGAATTTTTGTGCAAATGTTACAGATAGTGTAACTAGAGAGAACAATGTGAGGGTCAAGGGGTGCTCATCGTGGGCCTTGGATAATGTACAATAAATATTAGTTGCTGATGCATACGTGTAGTATAGGCAGTTGCAGATATATACGTGTAATATAGGTTGATGTATACGTGTAATAATGGTTTACATTGAGTGAAGTGGTTGTGCCACGTTGGCTAACTAACTCTGCTATTAAATACCCCACCATGGGTATGTGTAAGGCATGCAATTAATCAATAAAGTTCAGAGGTTTTACTTGTAAGGGTACGCATCCCTTATCAACTAGTGCTTCCATTTGGTGGATTCAAGAAATCAAAATGAGGATTCAAGAGATTGTTGAAGAATTGACGCAGCATAAAGAAGAAAGCAATCGGAGGTTTGAGCAAATCCTGGAGTTGATGGAAAAATGATTTCAGACGATGGAGAATAATTTTCGGGAAATGTTGATCCAATCTCCAAAATCAATTTCTGAGACAAATTCTCAGGAGACTTCTTCTCAGCCTCACTGTGGTGTTCATCAACATGGGTTGCATGTGGATGATCTTCGTGCAGTTCTGAAATTTGTTAAAACAGAGATTCCAAAGTTTGAAGGGGAGGAGCCGAACACGTGGACCTTCAAGATGGCATTATTCTTCAAGATTCATCAGGTTCTAGAAAATTTGAAGGTAGAGTTGACTGGCCTGAGAATGGAAGGGGCAACGGCAGATTGGTATCAATCGGTTTTCAAGAATGGTATCATCAATTCATGGGAAGATTTTACGGTGGCGGTATGTCAGAGATTTGGACCATCTCAGTACAAAGATGAAAGAGGTGTGTTATCAAAATTGTTGCAGACGGGGTGCTTGACAGATTACATGGCAGAGTTCCAGAAATTAATGAATTGTGTATCTAATATCAGTGATGAATTGTTAATGACATTTTTCATTTATGGTTTACAACCTGATCTTCAAGGGGCGATTCAATTGCGAGGGCCTTCTTCACTCCGTCAAGCCATGCAATTGGCAATAGCATACGATAGTCACCATGGAGAATTACGTTCATCAATTACAAATTATCATAAGAAACTATTTTTTCCTTCTAACTCCATAGGAACAATGGATAAACCAGTACAAGGCACACCACTTGCCTTACCAGCCCCAAGCACGTTACCAGTGAAGAAACTATCCCCACAAGAGTTGCAAAAGAAAAGAGATATGGGTATTTGTTACACGTGTGATCAAAAGTGGACCACCAAACATCGTTGCAAGGCCAAGATGTTGTTACTGATAGGAGAACCTGAGGATTCAGATGAAGAGTTAGAAGAGGAGATTGTGTGGGGCAAGGCAGAAAATGATGGAGTGAGAGTTGATGCTGCTCTGCATTCACTTTCTAGCCATGATGATAAATCCTTGGTATTGTTGGCAGTTGTAAAGGGGAAGAAGGTGCAAGTTGTAACACCCCGTGTTAACCTGGTTTGTTAACATGTCATCGTATTAAGTGACGCTTAATTAAAATATGCGGAATAACTTTTTACTTTTCAATTATGACGTCATTAACTTAGCCGAGTTAATTACTTAATCAATTTCATAAAACATCGCCTGTATGTAAATTGCAAAAGACAGCTAACTGAAAATACCTCATGAATAAATAAGTGAGTATCTAAGTCACGGATCTATAACACGTAGTCCGGACATAATCTTGATACAATTATACAACTCGAATCAACTAAATACATAAAGTCAAGTCAATGTGGCATGGACAATCCCCATGCTCACCAAATAGCTACATAATCAACAAAGTCTCAGCTCAAAATCCATAACACGAAACTAATAGCATAACAGCAACAAATATCATCCAGCATCCAAACATAAATAGCACAGGCAGAAATATCAGCTAAGCTTTGGCCTCCTGCCGCTAGAGGTCTCGACCCTTGGGTTACCTGAACCTGAAATAAGCGCCCCAAACGTGGGGTGAGATCTCTAAACAGAAATCTCAGTAAGGCAAGGGGTCTTCAAGGATCTTCCACCCCAAGCTCACTTACATGTGCAGTATAAGTTCCAAAATAGTGCAATGCAGCAGATAATCATGTCATGTGTGTCAATACTAATCTACTGGCCAGAGAAATGCAGGAATACGTCTATTACCCACACTAATGCAAGACGCCACTTACACCCACCTACAGTGTCACCGTCTTGTATGACGCCACATACTCAGGCTAACCGTCAAAGTGGAACAACACATACATATTATAAGCAATTGCACATAAAGCTCAACAACATTTTCAATTATCAAAGCATGTAAACACATCATGCATATAAACCATTCTCCCATGGAGTATGGTGGAACCACACAATGGCTAAACCGAGGACACGAAAGTTTACTTGTACCCGTATGCCCCTTGGACTCGAACTCAGTATCACAAGGGTCCACACCACAAATAGAATCCAATGCACTCACAGATCTGGTTCAATGACCATCATAGCATCAATATACATATTCTAAAATTCCAAGGCAATCAGATATTATTTTCTTTTTCATTTCGAACCTAGAGATCCATTCTGAGACATAACATTTAACTTATTTAATTTTAGATAATTATTATCACTTGAAAAGGGTATTCTAATATATTATAGAATTGTAAATAATCTGTACAAAGGGTTCTCTATTTATAGAGAATATTTGACCTACTTTTAACCTAATGGGCTTGGCCCAATACAACAAAGGGCTTGGCCCAATACAACAATAAATGACTAAATAAAAACTAAATAATAACTAAATCAATATTATTTACAACACTCCCCCTCAAGCTGAGGAATAAATATTTATCATTCCCAGCTTGCTAGTAAGTTCTTGAAATCTGTCTGAAGGAAGCCCCTTTGTTAATAGATCAGCCAATTGACGCCCAGTGGGAATGTATGGAGTGGTAATCAACCCGCTATCAAGTTTCTCTTTGATGAAATGGCGGTCAACCTCAATATGTTTAGTCCGATCATGTTGAACTGGATTATGAGCTATACAAATAGCGGACTTATTATCACATAGCAGCTTCATAGGTCCCTCACATTTTATTTTGAGATCATCAAGAACAATTTTCAGCTACAGTAACTCACAAATGCCTTGAGCCATAGCTCGAAATTCAGCTTCTGCACTTGATCTGGCAACCACATCTTGTTTCTTACTTCTCCATGTCACCAAGTTACCGCAAAGAAACATGCAATAACCAGTGGTAGAACGACGGTCAGTCACGGATCCAGCATAATCAGCATCTGTGTAGACTTCTAAAGATAGATAGCCATCACGTCGGAATAACAATCCTTTACCAGGAGTACCTTTAAGATACTGAAGAATTCTCTCTACTGTCTGCATGTGTTTTTCTTTTGGATCGTGCATAAACTGACTGACAACACTAACAGCATAAGCTAGGTCTGGTCTAGTATGGGCCAGATATATCAATTTCCCAACTAGCCGTTGATATTGTCCTTTATCAACTGGAAGACTCTCTTCTTCATAGCCCATCTTTTTATTCTGCTCAATAGGAGTATTAGAGGGTTTACACCCGAGCTTTCCTGCTTCTTTGAGAAGATCAAGAACATATTTCCTCTGGCTGATAAAAATTCTTTTGCTTGAATGAGCTACTTCTATCCCTAGGAAATATCTCAGTTTCCCAAGGTCTTTGATTTCAAACTCAGAGGCAAGCCGTGTTTGCAGAATCTGTCTCTCCACAAAATCATCACCTGTGATAATAATATCATCAACATATACAAGGAGCACAGTAAGCTTCCCATTTTGGGAGTGCTTGAAGAAAAGAGTGTGATCTCCTTGGCTCTGTCTGTATCCTAAGGTCATCATAACCTTAGTAAATCTTCCAAACCAAGCACGAGGTGACTGCTTCAATCCATACAAGGCCTTTTTTAATCTACAAACTTTATTTTCCCCC